GTGTCTTCTCTCTATCGATGAAAGCAAGAATAAGAATGGGGACGCGGAATGTCCGTACAATGTACGAGACTGGGAAGGCTACCCAGGTAGCCAAAGAAATGCGAATATATGGCTGAGAAGTGCTGGGAATCTGAGAGAGCAGATAAAATGGATGTGGACTACCATGATGTCACCAATGCCAACCAAAGCCCTAATGCAGTGGGAAACAACTTCATCCTGCAAGATCATGACAGCAAGATTCAACTCAAGAGGAAGGATACAAGGAAGGTCACAATTATCATGCAATGCTACGCATGGTGGTACAAACGATGCGGAACAAGAGAAGAAGGAAGACTTTTCCAGACAACTACAAACAGTGATGGACAACATCCTAAACGGAGAAGTCGGAATCCTCATGGGGGATATGTTTTTCAAACTCGGAGTTGATAATACAGGAAGAGTACTCATCATGGGTGCCGAGGCTCCGGCTCGGTGAAATGCATGAGAATGGAGAAGTGATCTCAGACTTCTGCGATTTCAGTGATTTGGTGATCGGAAGCAGTGTGTACAAGTTCAAGGATATACACAAAGCAACATGGATTTCGCCTGATAGACACGCCAAAAAATAATATAGATTTCATCTCAATGCTGCTGAAGGAAGTGGAAACTCAATCAGTCTGCTGGATGCAAATTCGAGAAAAGCAGCAGATATTGGCTCAGACCATCATCTAGTTCAAGAAACCTTCAAGGTGATGCTGAAATCCCTGAAAACAAATAGAGACAGGCCACAGTAATTGAAGTTTAACATTCAGAGATTGAAGGACAATATTACGACGGATACCTTACTTACAGATCATATCAGAGTAAATACGGAGACACTACGTAGCATCAATGAGGAAACCTGCGTGGAGAACATTGGAACTAACTCTCTGAAGGTGATGTTCAAGGAAAAGTGCACAACTGTTCTAGGAAGAAAGAAGAGACAAGACAAGGAATGCCTCTCAACGGACATCTAGAAGATAATAGAAGAGAGGAGAGGAAGATGATGAGACAGAAGGTAAACCAATGCAGAGATGGTCAACAGAAGGAGAAGCTGAGTTTAATGTACACTGCACTGAATAAAGAAGAATTCCAGGAAAGATAGAAGGCAATTCTACAACACACTAACCAGCAACTGAAGCAGACAAACTGCAGGTAACATTATTTCAGATAACCAGATCACTATCCCGGAAGATATCAACACAGATGAAACTGATGAAAGGTGGTCATGGGGACCTGATTACCAACGAAGTGAGACAAATAAAATCACTTCAAAGGACTCTTGGACCGACCATCACCTACGACTCGCCCAGAACTACCACCAACAACAAGCACACAAATGCCTGTCAGTGGACACCAATCCTCCACCAAAAGCAGAAATCCTAAATGCGATCAAACTACTGAAGTCCCAGAGGGCAGAAGAATCAGACGGCACCCCCACATCCAGAAGTACTGCAAATGGACCCAGAGACTGTAGCAGATGTGCTCATGCCATTATTGCAAAAGGTTTGGGAAGAAGGAAATGTACCTACCTACAGATTGGAAGAAAGGCTGGCTACCTTGTCAAGCTGCCAAAGAAGGGCGACTTGCACCTGACTGTGGAAGAAGTAGCGTGGAATCACGCTCTTGTCCACACCAAGTAAAATGCTAAGACGCATCATGCTGGAGAGAATAAAGGATGCACTGGATACAGAAATTCGATAGCCCCACCGGAGCGAGATGGATTCAGGAAAGGCAAATCATGTGCTGATCAAATTTCAACTCTACGCATCATCATCATCATCATCATAGAGCAAAGCATAAAATGGCAGTCAAACCTCTCCCTACCTCAACTTCATTGACTTCGAAAAGGCCTTTGATAGATAGTGTTGACCGAGAAGTCATTTGGAAACTACTTCAACACTAAGACATGTAGTGCCCAGGTCTTTATCAACCTCATTCAACAGCTGGCTATATGAGAATGTCACGTATCAGTTGATCCACAACGGAAATTTCAGCGAGGCGTTCGAAGTGAAGACAGGAGTAAGACAAGCTGACTGCCTATTATCACCGACGATATTCTTAATTGTGGTGGACTGGATTATGCGTGAGACTGTGCGTTGGGTATGAGGAGACAGGAATACTCTGGACCACCGATAAGAAGACTCTTGAACATCTGGATTTCGCGCGTGGATGACATATGTCTGATGTCACACAAACTCGAAGACTTACAGGCGAAAAACAACAAACTGACCGGAGAAGCAGCGAAGACAGGACTCCAGGTGAAATAGAGAAGACGGAGGTGATGAAGATAACCAACGAACCACAACAGCAATTACAGACAGCACCAATCACCATCAACGGGATAGATTTAACATAGGTTGCCTCCTTCACTTATCTAGGAAGCATCATTTCAACTACAGGCAGTCGGAGCGGATGAACATGTCAAAGCCAGCCAGCTAGTCAGAATCGAAAAGACAGGATACGTCTTCATCAACCTGAAACCAGTTTGGAAATCTCCTGCACTGCACAGCATAAGGAACAAGATTCGGATTTTCAACACAAATGCCAAGTCGTTCTTTCTATACGGGTCGGAAACTTGGCCAGTGTGTCACGAGAAGGATTTCCAACAGGTTGCAGACTTTCATCAACAGCTGCCTTCACTGGCTGGTCCCATACTGAAGATCAAATGGCCAGCCAGCCTGACAGAAAGAATTAGTAATAAGAAACTGTGGGAACAAACCAACCAAGAGCCGATCGCTCAACAAATATGTAGGCGAAAACGGAGTAGGATCGGGCATACATTGGGGAGACCGTCGAATGAAATCGCGCTCAATGTAGGCCATCACTCCAGTGGAATCCTGATAGGAAGCAACGAGTAGGTCGTCCCAGAGTGACATGGAGGAGATCGTGTGAGGAAGAGATGAGAGATTATGGGGAATCGCGAACCCAGCTGAAGAGGACGGCAGGAAACAGAAGAAAGTGGAGGTGTTGTGGAAGCTCTATGTTCCACTCGGAACACAAGGGAATAATAATTATATGGACTATACGCAAGGTACACTGGCTAAATGGTTATAATAGCGATGGTGTGCAATTTATTCACCGAATATCAATATTTGAAATGAATCTAATGGGTGAATTATTCATTCATACTAAATGTCACTAAGTTTCTCTAGCAGCAAGCGTTTTACATCAATAACACTAATGGAAATAACACTGGTGATTTAAGTCACTTATTTACATACGAGCATCTGGGTTATAATACGGATCAGTAGCGACTTCGAAGCAGTACCTCTACCAGGATATTCCTTGCTCATAAGTAGGTGGAATCCACCAGACAGATATAGTAATATATAGAATGCTAGGTTGTTCGAACATATCCACCAAGGAAAACGCAGTAAAGCATTTGAGGGGAAGATGGAAGTAATACAAGTCTTCTTAATATTACTAATGATATTACTAATTGTTGCGGACTGTATCATGAGGCAAATAGTGAGTGGGAAGTGAGAAGACCAGTATACGTTTGACCATCCAGAAGGCAATTTGAGATCTGGACTTTCTGACCATTTATATGTCATACAAATTCTAAGACATACAGGCGAAAGCCGAAAAACTGGCAGAAGAGGCAGGACTTCAAGTGAAAGTAGAGAATACGGAGGTGAAGATAACCAATCAACTGAAACAACACCAATAATTACCAGAATAAATTTGAAAATGGTCCCTCCCTTCACTTATCTAGCTTCGCAATTAAACAAACCAGATCAGAGAACACAACTAATTGCAAACCATCGTTTCAACTAGAGGCGACGGCAGGGAACAGGATGTCAAAAGCAGCATTGGAAAGGTAAGACAGACCTTTATCATTCTGAAATCACTTTGGAAATCTTTTGAACTCAGCATGAAGAAAAAGATTCCGATTTTCGACAAGTGTTGGGTCATTTCCTTTATATGGGCAGAAAATTGGCGCCTCACTAAAACGATTTCCAATAGGCTGCAGACTCTTATCAATATCTGCGTTCGCTGGCTCTACCCTGGGGATCACATAGTCAGAAAGAATTGGCAACAAGAAACTCTGAGAACAAACTAGCCAACAACCTATTGTTCAAAAAACATGCAGAGGAAAATAGAGGTGGATCGGACGCACACTGAGGAGACCAGTGAATGACATCGCGAGCCAGGCTCTCGAGTGGAACCAGAACGGGAGGCGATAAATCGGGTTTTCAATGCTGATGTCAGGGAGATGGTGTGAGGAGGAAATGAAAGCTTATCAGCAGTCATGGGGTCGGCTAAACGAAACTGAAGAGAACAGGACAAAATGACGATGTGATGATGAGGACCTATGTTTCATTTGAAAATCAAGGAAATAAGAATAAATAGCAAAAATACACAGTTAAAAAAATACAGATCACTGACCCCTACCTTACACACTCAAGGCGAAGACAGACAAATACTTATCCCGCGAAATTTATCATATTTTATATAACAAAACCGTTGATAAAAGTTAAGTGAAAGGAGGAGAACTGAGTGGGTGCTGCACTGTCTAGGATATAAATGAATACGATGAACATTACAGAATTCAAAGCTATGGTTGGATACCAAAAAAACAACCAGCGGTTAAATTTGTTCCTAGTGGAAATAAATACGGTATCAAGCTCAGATAATTACCATCTCCTGAAGACAGTGACACCTGCACAAAGAACATTTACAGTTTGCTTAACCGGTAACGCAAGTGTTTGCTACTATAAGGCAGTTCTCTTCGATCAGCTAACACTTACCTAAAGGACGAGGGGTAAACGTTAGAGGAATTTCCACTGTTTAATCGCAACAAGACTATATAACTACTCTTCGGGGTATCCAAAGTTTCGAGTTGACATTGTGGAATGGGTGTAAATGAAAACGCTCCCTACTATTCTTTGCAGAACGGATATATGAACTCTGAAATTCACTAAAAATAGTGTCTGGCAAAACTACTGTAGTCAAATGATACAAAAACCAATAAGATAATGTGATGCGCCAATTAACAGAGTTTGAAAAAACAGCTTCACTAATACATACATTCATTCACTCACTGCCAACATATCTGAATGTAGAAAGAAAAACTGTACATAAATCTATAGCCACATAAAACATGTTTATTCAACTGGAATGTTTGGCATTTTGAAGATTGTCGACCATTAAAAATATATTAAAAGTGATGAAAACTATATTATTAAAGATAATAATCACAACAAAGCCAGACAACAAATATTAGTCAGCATGAAAATGCAACAGATAGTCTCCATACAATTGATTAGATGATTGAATATCACTTTTGAAATCGAAGGGGATCGATCAGATAGCTAAACCAAATACCGTGACAATGAAGTACATAGATTTGTTTTCCCACTTGACTGTACAACTACCTGGAAAAGATAAAGATGTATCACACAACCCGCGTTTCATATGAAATTCAAACTACAAAACATTTCTTTGTAAATATGATATAGCCAGTTAATAAAAGACAAATTCAGCTAAGAAAATTTTTTTCTCGACGAAATCATCTTCAGAGGCTGTACAGTCGTATTTATACTTATCAAAAAATATATAGTGGTCTATTATTGAGTAATAGGGGGTGACATAATGGATATAATTACTCGGAAGTGGCATTAGAAGTGGAAATCAAAAGTAGTAAATTACGTGGTACTCAACGGCACAAAGATAGAAATTTGATAAGGTTACTTAGCAGAATAATATGATATTATTTAATTCCTCTGATTCTTCCCAACTGCATACAACCTAAATCAATTGGAATGTTGATGTGTAAACTAGTCGCAGTGTTTCAACTTAGATTTTCGATTTTGTCGATGGTCATTGAGGGCTTTCAGGTGGAAGGAGATTAAGTGATGAGGAGGTTGTCTGCAGCTTCGTAGGTGTAGGATGTATTTTGCGTTAGGATGAACTTGCGAGGTAAGATCCGCTGTCCGGTTTTGAGTTAAACGGATTTCAGAGGATTAAAGGAAGTTGATGGTATTGTTCTCCTAGGTGAAGGTGATGAGGAAATACAGAAACTTCTAGGCACTTAAAGGGCAAATCTTCAAAGGTTCAGCTTGCTATTGTCTGCCGTCAAATGTAAGGTTACCATACAAAATTAGTCTGCATCGACTCCTATTTGAAAGGTGGAATCAACGTGGTTAAGTGTGGGAAGTTGAATCAACCCTGATTGATTGATTACAGACGGAACCTCAGCACGAATACAAAAGACTTTAGTAGCGTCATCTCTGGTGTTGACATGACATTCGCCTGTCAATTGAAGGAAGTGCGTTTTATACAACCGTTGTCTCCATTCTCCGTTATGGCTGCGAGATACGGCCACTCAAAGAGGGAGATAAATAGGTTAACTATCTTTGACCATAGATATTCGCGTTTTATCTCTCTTGTCCATGGGTACGATATGGTGAGTAATATTAAAGTTAGACGTAGCGTGTTAAGTAAGGAGTGCAAAGCAATCAATAAGGATGTGAAGCTACTTTGACTGAAAGGGAAAGGACACATATCGCGAAGGCAAACTAGCGATGTTGACTAACAGTAACAGATTGGAAGTTAGCGGTGGTCAAGCCAAAACCTAACACCAATTCATGAAGTCTTGTTTTGAGTCACGTAGAGAAGTGTAGACTGCCTGTTTGGGATCTTCGGGATGCTTAGAGCTACATCACGAGTTAACCACCCGAACCGCCTTTTCCACCCAGTCCCATGGCTAGCAAACAGAGAACTTTGTGGGTGTAACTGGGACGACGTTAGCACCACCGAGGCGGGCGTTCCAAAATGATAACACATGGTGCAAGACAATCTTTACTGTATTCAAACACACCACTAAACTTGTCTGGTATTATTATGCTATGGGGTGCAAGAAATTCTATGGAGGTAGAGATGATTGAACATACTAAGGCACCCCGTATACTTAGCCTGATCTCATGGGCGTAAAGCAAGACTACACATACTGAAACACTTTAAATGCGATGTAAAGAATTCAATTTAATGTTGCAACTGTACCAAAGGTGGTCAGTCCCAGCCCCAGCCGTCAATACACAGTAGATCCTATACGTCTGTCTCTGTCTTACTGTTTTCGACATAGAACTTTGCACATATGTGCAGCAGTTCAAGTCGCCACACCCCGTGTAGCACACAAAGCAAGAGAAGAAATGCATAATAGAGACAGTAAACAGAGGTGGGAGACAAAGGAATAGTAATAACGAAGAACAAAACAGTTTCATTGAAAATCAATAAGTCACAAGGAGTGGATGCATCTGCGCCATTGAGTACGATTTTGAGCCATATCACCAATTGTTTCCAACCATTGGTTTTTACCGTCCCGAGGACCCCAACCAGGAAGTCTACATCTTCCTACCTGGCCTAGACTAACTGTTGTAGATTTCATTGACTGGTGCTATGTTTTGGTTTGACCGCCGCTAGCTCTTTTCCAGCCTGACCCTATGTCAGCTAAGATGGCCCGTCGGTCGGGTTCCTATACGTCACACCTCCAGCACATACAAAACAACTCAGTTGCAGGAATGCATCGACTGCCTTTAACAGCTTACTTATAATGGTGAGTGTGACTACCAACTCCGGACAGTGTTACACAAATACTCGCACTTAGTTGGAGTGAATCACACATCATACATACACTGCTGAAACTATCTAAATATCAGATGCTTACACAAAGGCATCAGAAGATATGAAACGCTTACATGCACAGACAGTAATATGACTCATTTTAATCCACTTTTGGATAAAATGATTCACAGAATGCAGCCATAGCAACAGCAATCGAAGTTGGTTGTTTTAAGTCGGTTATGAATAAACAATCATTCCAAACACAATTGGTGGGGCTAAATATCACTAGATTGGACCTTTAACCAGCTACCGAAATTAATCTACAAACTACGTGGAAATATTCCATACGAACAAAAAATGAACTGAACATCAAACACTACAGCAAAAACGAAAAAATGTTACACAAAAAGGCAATGTTTAATAGATGTATCTAAAATGATATAACCAACCGTAGCAAATTTACAGTAAAGGAACGTTAATCTTACCATCAGTAGTACTATCCCAGTAACAAGAACTAGCAGTATGTAATCCAGCACCACTCTTTTGCATAATAATACAGGTAACTAAACAGAGTTACGTAGATTAACCAAACCAACCAATATATTTGAACGGCTTTCCGAGTTTGGTAAGATGGTTAAGGCATTGTTCAATTACGGTTGATGTCCACAGTTGTACCTTGCTTTGTGAATATGAACTGGACCCTACAATGCTTTCTATGCACTAAATAATCCATGTTTAAAATGCATTCTCGGAATCTGTCATACCTCTTTGACAATATTCTTTACTTCTTCTGGAACAAACGTAGTCTATTTTGTTCAATGTTAGTCTGGCTTAGGATTACCTCTTCAGATGCTTGGAAGTCATCCATTCCTTACAAAACAAGAACGCCAAGTCGTCGCTAAGGCCAGCTTTCTATTAATCAAGGTAGCAGGATTGATGCAGTTAAACAAAGTTTCAATCGTCAATCTTCAGTTTGCCATAAGTCTTACTATTTATTCAGCAATATGCTTTAGCCAATATCCAATATCATTTTTACGAGCTAGTATAAACATTTGACTTTTTATTCACGCTTCCTGATTGTGAGGTATAGGTTTCTGATCTTCGGTAAACTTCTGCGTAGCTCGTCCCGCCACTCGACTGTCGTAGCTTTCGTTGACTCCAAAAGGAGTAGCGCTTTGAATTATTTATATGTGGTTTGTAGTATGAGGTGTGTTAAGACTGTCACTACTGTGAATGGATTTGATCCTTTCACCAGTTAGTCCTCTGGCATCGTAGTCAAAAGAAAAGAGATAATAATAATAATGATAGATATAATTAGTGAAGTCATTCAGACTAACAGACGGAAAAAGAAATAAAGAAAACGTAACAACAGTCAGCTGATTAAATGTTAAGTTGATATATATATATATAAATATACGTATATATATATATATATCGGTAATAATAATAATGTGTAGTTAAAGTTGTCGGGAAAGTAAGATGGAAGAGAATGTAAAGTAGTAAAACGACGAATGATGTATGGGATTCTAAGGGGATTAGCCATTTGGACGCAGTCCTTGTGTCGCCGCGTGATTGTCCAGCCTTCCCTGAAAGGCGTCCACAGACAGTGCCATAGCAACATCTGCCAGTAAGGAATTCCAGGGACGGCAAACCCGCAGTGAAAAGAAGTGGGAGCGCACCCGGATCCTTGCCCTCTGGTGAGCTATCCTTCTGGAAACTCCACGAGGAAGCCCTTACCTACTAAATGGCAGAGCACCTTTGTCTGAGTGATTCTGGTCATTTGTTATTTTGTAGGCAGTAATCAAATTCCCTCTAAGCCGATGGTAGCTAAGTGTAAATAGGCCTAATTTCTTTAGCCTTTTTTCATAATGGTGTATTTCGGGGACCAACCACTCCTTTTTTTGCCCGTCTTTGGACTCTTTCCAAGAGGTTGGCGTCTCTTCTAAGCAGTGGGGGTACAATAAGATTACGCACTTCAAGGTGTGGTCTGACGTATGTTTTGTACAACCTTAGAAGCAGCTCAGGAGTGAGTGCACCTAACTGTCTATGTGTAAAGTGTATGACCGCATATGCCCTCGCTACGTCCCCGTGTAATTTACGCTTGTGTCCATTTTTTCCGTAAGAGCTAGACCTAATTCGCGCTCCGACGTTGTGCAGGAAAAGCTTTCATTGCACAGGGTGTAACTTGCATTTTGCAGTCTACCGGTGCGTAATTTCACTACTTTGCACCTTTTCAGGTTGAAAGTCATGCCACTGGCCACCGCCCAGTCTTCCAGAAGCTTTAGATCTGCCTGCAGTCTATCTGAGTCCTCCGGACACTTTATCACCCTCCATATCTACGTCGTCAGAGCATAGAAGAGCCGGGCAGCTTAGACGGCATGTTAAATCAGTGATAATAATCAAAAACGTCAGTGGTCCTGGGATAGAACCCTGCGACACTCCTGATGACGAGCTGTGCCAAGATGACCGGACTTGATTGACCTTAGTGCAAAATCGCCTTTCAGCTAGGTAGTCCTTTAATCATGACAGAAGTGGCTTACCTATACCTGCCTGATTTATCTTGTGTAGGAGAAGGTCATGGTGAACCGTGTCAAATGCCTTCTCAAAGTCTGGGAAGACCACATTGACTGGAACATTCATATCCCAGCATGATGTCCAGTCGTCCCAAGCTGATAATAAGTTAGTGACGCAGGATCTTCCTTTCCTGAAACCATGTTGGGCTTCATGGAGTATTTTAGACCCATCCAGATATTCCCTGATGTGATCATCAATAATACTTTCCAGTACTTTCGATACCACAGGGAGTAGAGCTACCGGTCTAAAACTAGTGGCATTTTGCCTATTTTCACCCTAGAAGATCGGAGAAAGGATGGCTCTTTTCCACTCCCTTGGCAGTTTCCCCGAATCCAAGTCGTATTAGAGCCTACAGAGAGCTACGGCGCACTGTTTCAGAGCAGATGGCCTGATGTCGTCACAACCTGGGGACTTCCCAGGTGTGAGTCGCTGTAGCGTCTCTAGTACTAGTGCCTGGTTTATTGATATCAGTTTAAAACTTGGGCGCTGTGGTAGAGTATAACTCCATTATGTATAATATGTTATTTTGATAAGTCACACAGTGTTACACAGTAATACACATAATAGTGCCGGATTAATTTGGGGAGTAGCCACTAGGTCTTCCTCCTGAGAAATGGTAGTGCCACCATTTTCGTCCGTACCGGTAATACCCACATTGCTGTTAAACTGTTTGGTGAAGGCTAAACTGACCATTTGGGCCTACTAAGGCGCATGCCCCCTGGTTGGTTGGTTTTCTTTCTGACATGAATCGATACAAGTTTTTGGGGTTTGCTAGGAGTTTTTTTGGAAAGGTTAGCCTCCTGTCACTCCAGACTCTCGCGCTGATACTCTAAGATTTGCCATCACTCTACTATTTTCTGAGTGCTTCGGGTCGTGGTTAGCAGCTACTCCAAAATCCTTACACTCGGTAGTCGTTAGTGAAGCTATTTATCCAGCATTCGCGCACACTGTTTCGGCAGGTGTGCATAAGTGCAGACTTGTTTCTATTGAACTTCAGGGACCAGTGGTTACGCCACCCAATATACAGATCTAAATCCTCCTGAAAGTCAAGTAATTAAGTATCACTATCTCAAGCGCTTCAGGACTGATGTTGGTGGGGTCGATTTATTTGTTCACTGTATGCCGTAGACTATTAATTTTGTGAGGGAAAAAGTGGCGCTAGTCGTTTACCTATGCTAATGTGATATATGTACATTTATAAAAGAAATTACAAGAAGCATGGCAGATTTCGTCTAAAAAGGGTAACCTCCGTCTTTCCAAGGAAGATAAGTATGAAGGTTCACTAGGAACCTTACTGTTTGTCCAAGACGTGATCTTCGCCGTAATTCCTTAGAGGCATCTGTTGCTTTTCTTGTGCTGGTCAACTCTCCAAGTGCTAGCGGGCACCCTGTTGATGGGGAATAGTCGTATCAGGTCTCATAGTATTGAATTCTATGTACCAGACACTACCGCAGTCCTAGGGACCGTTTTCAGCTGAATCGACTATAATTTTTTTAACCAGCAACAACCTTTGACCTAAGTACGTAGTGTCCTTAATAGGCAGTTTAGTGACACCACCTATCAATTGTCAGCAGACGTCTACGAGCAAACCATGATTGTTTATTATGTCTGTGTTTATGTCAAATATGTTAACATTAGTAGGAAGGGAAATCCACTGAATAGGTTTGCGCAAACATACTTTTAGTCACAGATCTACTCTCCGAAGGTCGCGACGGGTTTACAATTTGCACCTCTTGGACCGAAGGTAGGTTCTTTGTGACTGTCTTCCTCTGTGGCAGGGAAGGCTCTGACTTATGCACCGGGTGTCAAAAAAGAACTGGATTTTACTGACCATATCTCGAATTTAAATCAGACGGATACTGACACCGACTACCGTTTCCACGAACGCGTATCAGCCAGATAGTCTCCTGTAATCTTTGAGTCGCTTTTAAAATTAAGCAGCCACTTGTCAGTAGGTATTATGAGAACAACACCACTTTGAGTTCTTGTCTGTAGGTGAGATAAGTTGAGTCTGCCACTTTGGGAAATGTATGAACTGCTTAACCTGAGAAGTTGCTTAACAGGATTAAACATCTCTGTCGTTTCAGAGTCAAAACTTGAAATTCAAGTAAACATCAGTCATTGGTTACCGCTAAATTTCCAGGATCCTATCAATCTAGTCAGTTTTTTTTAGTTTGATTACAGCTTGATGCCACACCGTATTTTCAGTACAAGTATGGAATTTTCAGCATGGATATCGGTAGCCTAAATTTTGCAGGCCGACCGTAGATATCAGGTGTGCGTCGGCAGGAGATCGAACCTCGGACCATGTGCATGGTCAGAGAGAGTCCTAACCACTGTGCCACCGACACAGTCATCGATGGCGACTCCTTATGGTGTTACGAGCGCAGTCTGTGTTGGCTGTCAAAACTTATTTAAAGACAAATCTTTAAAAGTCTGTTATCGAATTTCCGTCAGTCAGTGGCTTCGCGCATTCGCAAAAGAATGTGTACAGCTGAATTATCTTCTAAACTGACATCGGCGAAGAGTTCGTCAAGACTGTGTCAAAACGAGAGGTAGTTTCTCTCGCAGCGTTTGGCTCCCCACAGGAGGCATTTAACTCCGGAGTGAACATATGCCTGGTGACTCACATGACGGGTACCTGCAACACAGCACATGTGACTGCCACGAAATATGTATATGGATCGGTTACTTTATGTTCATGGAAGTCAGCTTCTACAAACAGAAACCGTGTTTCTGAATTATTCGGCCAAAAGAGCACGAGCAGAATGGGAATACTAGCTGGTCGAATTCGTGTAAATCTCGGTGTCTGGTCATACATCGTAAAAATGATTTATTTTAAAATACAGTAAAGATGACAAATGAACAAATACGCATTGGGACTAGGTCATCGAAATATAGTGTTCATATACAATAAGATTTGTTGTCAAGGTCACCAGTTCAGGAGAACAAGGGATGTCGACGTTTAGACAAGCTACTCTGTAGGCCAAGACAGTTTCCCATCCTTAAACTACTATAATACTTATTCTGCTTAGACCAAAGACAAATCAGAACACCGAATTGATCGTCCAAAACAGATATATTTCGGAACAGAATAGTAGTGCGATGTTGGCTGCTTACCTAGCCAGGGATCGTGCAGAAACTTGCAGTTATTTATTGACTCGTCTGAAATCAGCAAAACAGTAAAAGTTCCTTCAGTCTGAAGTATATAGGGAATGAATACAAATCTTCTACACTTTGTTCCACATGGATTGTTAAGCATTGGTAAATTAATTTTCTGTCATAATTTTGCGCATATAATATGAAGATTTTTTGTCGACAATTTTTTACCACAACTCTGAGTCAAAAGTTTCGCAATATACGTCACATCTACTACACAAACAAG